GTATATCTGCCTTAGTCATATCGCTGTACAATGTGGTGGCATGTCTACCTTAGTTATATTACAGTGGTGGTATGTCTAACTTTGTCATATCACAGTATAATGTGGTGGTATGTCTCCCTTGGTCAGATTACTGTATAATGTGGTGGTATGTCTGCCTTGGTCAGATCACTGTAAAATATGGTGGTATATCTACCTTATCACCCAATAATACATTCTACAGTATATATCGCTTGTGTGATAAATTTCATAATCTACTGCCGAGTTTTTTTTTACTTTATTGACTTGTGTTGATATTTTTTGATATCAAAAAAGACGAGTAGGAGATTCTCTATGTAGTCCTATTGCTGTATAATATGGTGATATATTTGGCTTGGTCATACCACTGTATAATGTGTTGGTATGACTGCCTTGGTCAGATTAGTATAATGTGGTGGTATGTCTTTAGAAGAAATGTTTCCTTTGCTAAACCTGAGGGGTTTGATCAGCTATCAAAAGAGTCATATAAGAAATGTAGCAAAGTAAAATAACAGGTATGTAATAAATAAGCATACATATGTTTTAAGTAATAGTAAAAAAAAATGTCTGAAATATGGGATACCACAAAGATTATAAATTCATATAAACAACCTCCAAATTTACAAAGAATACTTACTTCTTCAAAATTTGATCCTGAAGTCACAGAACCGAGTGTCACAAAGTGTGGCGACAACAGATGTGAAACTTGAGTCAACATTATTGAAGGTAAAACAGTAAAATTTAATGGAAATGGAAATTTTTAAGTAAATCAATCTATGACATGTAAAAGTAAAATTGCTATATATTTGATAATTATGTCCAGGTTGTAATGAAAACTGTATAGGCAAAACTGATCACATCTCAACATTAGGATAAACCTACACAGATTCCCACATTGCTAATCCCACAAATAGAATGATGCATCTAAGCGAACAAGGCAAAATTTAGGGTATTCCCCTAATATAAACTCAAATGGTCAGGTAATAATTTGTTAGAAAATAAGAACGACATTTTATTTGATATTTATATTTGATATTATTAATGTCATGCACATATATGTACGATAATAACGCCATGTAATTGTTTACTATCCCATCATTAAATGCCTGATTATCCCCTTGGTGTGTGAAAGCGCTAGCTAAGATGAAATTAGGTTTTCTTTCTATATATATATATATATATATTGAAATGATTGATTGTTTCAGGGACTTGTTGATGGTTTATAAAGATTGTTTATCAATACTATAGGTTCTTGTATAAGATTTACTGTTTAGCGTATCTTTGCTTTAGTGTGTTAAATTGCGTTTAATTTGATCGGGAGACGTGTTCGTAAACGTCAACGTCAACCGACAACACTACAAGAATTGGTCGTGGCACTGCAAGAGGAGTGGGTCAGAGTGCCCCAAATCGTGATTTGACGGTTGATTAGGAGCATGGCACGACGAATTGCTGAATGTCTGAGGATTGGTGGAGCAATTACTCATTATTAAGACAAAAATCAAAAACGTCCATTTTCACTTTTGAAATGGGGCCGTCAGATAAGCCGTCCATATGAACTGTTTATGTCCATGTGTAGGCAATTGGCCTGTTATTAACATACACTGCATTTCCGCAGTTTTGTATTGTTTCTAAATATCCCCTACATTTTTTGAAGTGTATAGAAATAAGACAATTTTTAAATCTAAGATAGATGTCAATACAGTAATCAATTATGCTCTATAACAGTCAATGCTTGCCATGGCACTAAAATAGACCTGCTTCTCAGTCATATTTGTGCAACTTCAAAGCAGCATTTCCTCTCCAGAATTGTCATACCAATTTTAATAAAACTGATATCGCGAAAATTGCTAAAACTTTAAAAAATCGTAATGATTTGAATGGTATCAAATATTAATAATGTCCATGATAAAAACAGGCGTTACTTTTAGCAAATTCAACTGATTGTTACATGCATGACGTACATGTACCAGTGTTGTATTGTTTGTATTTAGTATAGACAATTGTAAATCTACAAGTGAATAAACCATCGTATAGAAATAATGACTTGTTTGTGTTTTATTAGATTGATAGCGGTAATACAGAAGCTGATTCATGTAAAACATTTGTCATGCATAATGAAGATGGGCAACTCTCTCCGATACATCATCACGAAGAAGTGAGTATACTAATTGAACCTCACACTTGTGTCAGTTTGGCCCTGTTCAAATTAATTGGATTTATCTCCCTTTATTGTAGTCATAATCAAAAAGTGGGTATACGAATACACCAGGGAGTAAGGAGCTGTAAAACTAACTAGTTTGTCCAGGGATTGATCCCGTTTTTTTTTAAGAATTGTTAGTAAAAGGCGGGGTTGGATGGCCATATCATAAGATCTGCCATTGAGTAAGTGGCATGGTTTTCGAATCCCTGCTTGTACATGTGACAAGGAGTAGGGTTGCCTGTCAAACCTTGTGGGTTTTCTCCGGTTTCCTACCACTGCTAAAGACTCCTATATGCGCACGTGAATTATTGAAATAAAATTGAACCATATGTTAGTCCCGAAATAACCTAGTTTGTGTCAAGTGGCCATTAAACCCCATTTCCACCTCTCCATCCCATTGTCAGTAGTGTTGCAGGAATGGGGACCTGGTAAGGAACAGCTAGTGTCTACTCATTCAGATGGGACTAAAAACCATGGTCCTGTGTAAATGTGTATGTGCTCGTAAATTAACTTGAAATAAGAGTAGATCATGGTACTGCTGGGGTGCCCTGGCCATTTTACCCTCACAGCACACTGAATGGCGTATGTACATCTTCGTTAGTCTGTAGGACGTGAAACTACATTTTATTTTCTTTACATCAGATTTGCCCTGCTCAAATTGGATTTATCTCCCTTGTGTTGTAATCCACCTATAATACTATTGCATAGCCTGCTGGTGTATTCACACATTGGTAGTATTAATGTATGACATCCATGCATGTACACTTTTTGCTACTAACATAATTTTTTTTTAATAATTATTTTTTAGTAGTAATGTTCAGTTTTGTGGCTACACAGTTCCTCATCCGTCTGAAAATAAAATCAATTTCCGGATTCAAACATACGGTAAGTTCTTGCTGATGATCAAATTAGTGTATTGAGGGGATTTCAATATTAGCATTTGTTTGCCTTCAAAATGCCTGATGGTTAGAGCTGGGCGATAGCCTATCCCTGAAAACAAATATTTTCTAAGAATATCGCGATATTTGTTTCCAGGGATATCGCCTAGCTCATATAAAACAATTCGTCAAGAGACATAGAACATTGAACAGGAGCTCAAACGTTATTTATTGCTATTTATTCATCTTTAAACATACATTATGAAAGATCTAAATCTGCCTATTGCAGGTCTTTCTTTAGGCCTGAAATGTTATCTAAATTATTAATTAGACATTAATTAACCTATCCAGACCATAATCAACTGTAGATGGCATCGCTAGTCTGCGATCTTTAGTGGATTATGAGCCGATTTACTGCATAACTTTCCTTCACGATTTAACGATTAAATGGATAATCAAGGCTATGCTGTTTATCGTACTGACTTTAGTAATGATGATCGAGGCTAGGCGGAAATTTCAATCGCTTACTTCTCGGTTCATAATGGATCAATTTGAACAAAATTTTCAGCAAATTGCATTTACATTATCTAGTTTTAAACTATTATAGTGAGAACTGTCAACTCATTATCGAATCTCCCGTAATGTATCTTTAAACAATAAAATATGGTAATTGACATGAAAAGAAAAACTTTTTTTTCAATATTTATACTAAATATCATCCAGAAAAATCAAAACCGCCAAATTATATCGCGGTAATATATGTTCCATATTTATCTGAAGGGCAGTATATTTGACAGTTTTTATTCCTATGACTATTTTAAATCGAAATATCGCCTAGCTCTATCTACTTAGGAGATAAACACCGACTGTTTAGAATTTAGAGGACTTTAATGAAAAATTTAAGCGGTATCAAATGGACAATAACAGTCCGATAAATTCTAAACAGGAGGTGTTTATCGATATTGTAGCCCAAAATATTTAACATTTTTCTTGGAATTCTTTCTTTCGCGATAGTTGACGGTCGTTTTGTGGTTTTAATGACGTAAATACCAAGGAAAACAATTTTGACGTAATGAAAATATCCGTGACGTAATAAAATAACACTCATTTCCATTCTATTTGGTTCACTAAGCGACTTGTTAATTGTGATTCCCTGACAACTCATCCCAAAGACAACTCATCCCAGACAACTCATCCCAATAAAAGACAACTCATCCCACTTTTAAAGACAACTCATCCCAAGTCAAAAGACAACTCATCCCAAGTCAAAAGACAATTCATCCCAACTTTTAAAACACCCGACTCATTCCAAGTTACAAATAAATACCACAAATAATCACTAATATATGAATTTATTACATCAACAATTTATTAAATTATACATTTATGTATGAATTTATTACATCGACAATTTATTAAATTATACATTTATGTATGAATTTATCACATCAACAATTTATTAAATAATACATTTATGTATGAATTTATTACATCAACAATTTATTAAATAATACATTTTATTATAACCTCAACAATATCATCAACTAATACATTTTATTAGGCCAGTCATTTAGTAATTTAGTCTGTCAGTTTGTCGTTCAGTCAGTCATTTATTACGTAAGTCTGTCCTTCAGTTCGGTCCATATATCCCCCCACATCTTTTTAGTAGCTGGTTGGTGCTTATTTCCTGACTGGTATATAAATTCCAAAGTTGAAATAACTTGCTTTGTGTAGTTCGTGATTGTTTTTTCTGGTGTCTTCTTAATTTTCCTTCTGAGACCATTTTCATTTGTGTCGGTAGCTGCGCTGCTTCTTTATACAACAAAGATATCAGTAGATAAAACTGAATTGTCTTTGGGATGAGTTGTCTGGATACCTTAATTGTGTCTGTTTGGAAAGGGAGGTCATTCTGCGATAATTTTAAAGATCGAAACAGAAATTGTAAGTGTATTTTATGTACTTTTTAAATGATTTTGAACTCCAGCAGTGACTAGGTTCGAAATAAATTGCATATCATGTTTGATAAATGTCCATACACTCGTGTGACCGTGTAGATATATGCTGTGTAGCGTATGCGCGTGGTTGCTATGCTTGTTTACGTTGTCATTTCGACGCTGTGATTTTTTTTTCTTAGCAAAAAACCCTGGCTTGTGTTGTGTATGAAAATTAATCTCTGTCCTATTCATATCAGTGTCAGCCCGACTTGTATATTTTTTAAAACATATCCCAATCAGTTATTTACGGTCCATACGGAGTTCAATAAATTGTAGTATTTTTATTGACTTGTTGAAAATCTTCGATTTTGACCAGTCTGATTATGATTTAATGACCATAGCAACCATTATGGTCAGACCAGCCTTGAAATGAAATTTACCCATTATGATTCAAATACACTCACTATCTTTGTTTTTTGTATTTCAGGTGTGTGTTTCAATAAGCCAATGGTTGAATTTCATTGTTGATGACATACAAGAAAAAATTCATGAAGATTTCCTAGAATAAAGTTTTGAGGTGTAGAATTTTTGGCAACTGCAAACAGAGTCTAGCACCCAGAAAATATTTATTCGCAGTGAGTCGCCCAGGAAATTTAGAGGACTGTTATACTCATTCGACGCCACTTTTCGACCAATCAAAATCCAAGAAATTTCCATTTTGGGCTACAATGATGGTTTTTCACCTCGTAGCTTCCATAGAAATATCTTATGGTAGTGTTAGTCTCAAAAACACGCAAATTTTCACAGGTTTTTTGTTTGTATCCATTCAGTACCTTCCAGATCAACAGTCAAGAGTTTTTTTTATTGCTTAGATATTTGACTTTATGGCACATAAGGGATTTAAAGGAAGAGTATTCAAGGATAAAGGCAAATTAAGACCATACATAATAAAAATCAATCTTTATAACCATCCTTTTGTTTCTCTGCTTGTATAATATGGCAACCTCATGGATTTTCTCTGGGTCCTCCTGCTTCCTCTCACTGCTAAATGTTAGTCCAGAAATTACATATTTTGTGTCGAGTTGATTTTAAATACAATTCCTCTTTCTCTTTATGGCCATCCAAAGTTCCTGTTACTTTCTACTGATTTCATGTTGCCATCTGGTTTTTCTCTAACACCTGAATGATTTTTCATCTGTATATTTTTTAACAGGTGTAAACCAGCTGTAGATATTCTAACCGTTTCTAGGTAAACCAGCTGTAGATACAGATATATTCTAACCATTTGTATATTTTGTAACAGCTAACCCAGCTGTAGATATATTTTAAGAAAGGGTTTAGAAGATTTAAATAAAATGTGTGAACATGTTTTACAGACATTTGAAGTAAGTTTACAATTGTTGCTGTAACTCCTCTCCTTCCCTAGGTTTACAATCATTTAAATTCTCTTATTATCATTGGAGGGATGTTTAATTCATTGTACGCTACAATATTGTGAAAGTTGAATCTAAGGAATATCAATGCCAATGAAATGAAATGGGGTTTCAGTCCTAATTTTCTGTGCCAACTGAAGAAAAACAGAAAGAAAGAAATTGATTAAATTCTATTAAGTATTTAGATGCACAAAGATATGATGTCATTGATAAAATGCCAACAGTCAGCATCCACTCCAGATAATATATAGAATATAGTCATATCAAGCTACTATTGCCACCTATGATTTTTTGCAGAAATCTTTTGCTGGACCCTGTCGTCATTAGCCCAGTTGGAGTAGAACAATAGGACGTTAAAAAAGCCCATTTCATTTCATTTTGTTGGGCTTTTTTTTAATCCAAGCTGTGTCATAATCAGCTGTCGATATTTTGATTTTGTTTTCTAAATTGAATGTTTCGAAATCATATGAGATATCTGGAATACGTAAATGTGTTTCTTTGACATTAAGAAAGCAATAGCATTTTGTTATACGCCTACATTTTCATGTGAACGTATATTGTCGCTGATTGTCGTCGCCCCTGTCCGTCCGTCCACAATTGTTTGTAAACACTCTAGAGGTCATAATTTTTATCCGATTTCAACGAAACTTGAAATATAGGTTTATCACCATAAGATCTCGGTTCCTTTCGATATTGGCATGTATCTTCATATATTATGGCTCTTGATTGTACGAAAAATCACGTTTTTAGCTTGTGAACACTGTAGAGGTCACAATTTTTATCCGATTTGGTTTAAACTTGAAATCTAAGTTTATAACCCGAAGATCTCAGTTCCTTTCGATATTCGCGCATATCGGACCGTAACTTCCTGAATTATGGCCCCTGATTGTACGAAAAATCACGTTTTTAGCTTGTGGACCCTATAGAGGTCATAACTTTTATCCGATTTAAAAAGAAACGTTTTAATATATCACAGTTATACCCTAAGGATGGTTGAGTTTGATTTTCGTGAAAATCGGCCCAAAACTGACAGACAAAATGGCCGCCCCTGGTTCTCAAATAGCGTAAAAATATGGTATATCAAGGTTGTGGACCCTCTAGAGGTCACACTTTTCTTCTGATTTTGATGAAACTTGAAATGTAAGTTTACAACCCAAAGATCTCGGCTCCTTTCGATATTTGTGCATATCGAATCGTAACTTCCTGAATTATGGCCCCTGATTGTACGAAAAATCGCGCATTTAGCTTGTGGAACCTATAGCGGTCATAATTCTTATCCGATTTTTAAAAAAAACATTTGAATATATCACCATTCCATCCTAAGGATGGTTGAGTTAGTATTTCGTAAAAATCGAACCAAAACTGACAGACAAAATGGCCACGCCTCGTAGTCAAACTTGATCAAACTTGAAATGTAAGTTTATAACCCCAAGATCTTGGTTCCTTTCGATATTTTTATCTGATTTAAAAACAAATGTGTGAATAATCGCGGATACCCGATTATGGTCCCTGATTGTTCGGAAAATGGCATTTTTAGCTTGCGGATTCTCTAGAGGTCACAATTTTTTTTCCGATTTTAAAAATCGTTTAAATATTTCACCATTCCACCATAATGAAGGTTGAATTCGAATTTCGGGAAAATCGAAATGAAACTGCCCAACAAAATGGCCGCTCTTTGTACGCAAATTGTGTAAAACTATGCAATACGAAGGTTTTCGACCCTCTAGAGGTCACAATTTTTATCGGATTCTGATGAAACTTGAAACATATCTTTATATCCCAAAGATCTCAGTCCCTTCGAATATTTGCGCATTTCAGACCATAACTTTCTGGATTATTGCCCCTGATTGTACAAAAAATCCCTTTTGTGTTTAGCTTGTTCTCTATCAATCTCTTGCAAAATGTGGGCGTATCCTGCCTGGCAGCCGCTGATTAACTTCAGTTTAATCAAAAGTACATAATTATAAGCTGTATTATTTCTTTGATGTACATGTATAATATTTAACATTAAAGATGCATTATGCAAGAGCTAATCCTCCTTAAATGTAATATAAATTATTAACTAGATATTTATTAACTTGCCAAGATCATAATCAACTTTTGATGCCATTGGATGCTCTAGATTTTCAATGGATTGAAACACCATTTGTGGTTAATGTTTTAATTAAAAAAATGGATAGTCAAGACTTTGTTTACTATTGTAACAACTGTAGCAATGCCAGTTCTCCAAACAGCTCAGTATGAAGTAATGTGACAGGAATTTTCATTCAATATATTCCCTTTTATTACATTATCTATTTTTTAACTATGATAGCAAGAACTGTTAGCTCTTTATCTAAAGTTTACAGAATGCATCTTTAACCAAATTTCCTTTAAAAATTGAAATCTTGTTTTGAGCAATTGATATTACACAATATGTTAACTCATCATCTTTTTCCTTTTTTTTTTGCCTTTTAGAACAGTGTATCTGAGTTTAAAGAATTGCAACCAGAAGATGTAGAAATGTCTGATCAATGATGTTACTATAAGAAGTTTATATTGTCTTAGTGATATATAATGTATATATGGCTGCAGGTCTTATACACAGGTTATCCATAATAGATGAAAGACATTGAATTATTTGCAACTGGAAAGTTACCGTGACTTTTGGATATGGATGGAAGCTAGGTTATTTAATATTATAGGTGGGGAGTCAGAAGATGGTATTTGGGTTGCGCAAAATTACGCATAGAGGTTAAGAACAAAAATGCATCACAGTAATGTCTGTCGAAGAATATAAGTGTGGAATTCTTTACCAACAATGGTTTTATATTTTGTTCATGTGCATCTGCAAGGAATATATTTTGTTCATCTGTAAGGAAAATATTTTACATCTTAAATTCATATACATGTATCCTTAAAATCTCTGATTTTCATTTCAGTGATTTTAAATCCCTTGTAAAATACAATATTGTGAAAGTTGGATATATAAAAGGAATATCAATCTGTCCAGTACTTAAAAAGCAGGGGTGTATATTTTTCCACAATGTACCTTCTTTTCCTCAATATATACTTTCTGTTCTTCCTCACAACGCTGCCCCAGTGACCCACACTTTTAGCATCATTTTGGCATATATCTGGGGTGCATGTAACTGAGGTCACGAATCAAAATGACAATGATGTTGCTCTGTTCATTGAACTTTTTCAACTTATTGAGGGTAAATCGTACGCTGAAGCACTTTGTAAGAGGGTTGGCACTATTAAAATTGAAGAATTTGTTGTTTATTTTTCAGAGTTAATAAAGTGATTTTTTCTTTTCTTTATGTCATGTACCCTTTCTTCCTCGCCCTGTACTTTTTTTTCCTCAATATTTATTGGCTCAATTGGAATAATAAATACCCCGGTTACAAAGATATGATTAATTGAAAATTTGTCAACATTCTGCATCCAATTCAGATCAGATGTACATGTTCCTATGTAGGATATGGTCAAAATGAGCCAGCTCATCGATAACTTTTACTAAAATCTTTTGATAGGCCTATGTTTAATCTGATTGAATCCATGCAAGGAGATTATCAACCTTTGATATTTTGATTTTTTCTTAATTAAATGTTAAAGATAAATTATGTAAGAGCTGGCAATTCTTACTATAATTGAAAATTTCATTCAAACATCTCCATTGCAGCAAAGATATCGCTTCACCATTTTTAGATTAAATCAAAATATGTCTGAACCGTTCTAATCTACTTTATTGGAGATATCCAATGGCATCGAGAGATGATTATGGTCTTGTCATATTAATAAAAGTCGAATTAATAGTTTACATAACATTTCAGCCCTTAAAAAAGACCTGCAATGGGCAGATTTAGCCCTTGCATAATGTATATAAAAAATCAATTTAGGTACATTTTGTTATGGATTGAGTTGAGAAAAACATATATTGTCCAAAAATGCAAATTATGATCACCATCTTTGTAACATGTTTACACACGTACAATAATCAACAAAAATATTATTACTGAAATTAAATGGAGTTTAATGTCTTACCGTTCTGCTCGGACATGGCTAATGAATAAAGGCATGCGCCATACAGTGTGCTATGAGGGAAATTTTTGCCTGGACAGCTGCACTGTAGCTAAGTCTTATATCAGATTCCAACTGCCAAGGTTTCTTTTACATGCACGTCAATGTGTAAACGGGACCTCAGATTTTCGAACCATCTGTCCTGCACCACTGACATGGCAAATTGTAGAATCCTGATGAACTTTCTTGGCCAATGCGCAGGGATGGAACACGGGACCTCCAGGTTATCGATAAAACGTCTTACTCACTGAGCCACAGCACCTCCCTTACTGATAAACAATTTAGGCTACATATACATCAACAGTGATTTATATACCATAGCATAGCTTGACAAAAAAAATACTGTTGTGTTATTGTCGATTTGCAATACAATTTTATTTTTCTGTCTTTGTATTGTAAAAAAAGATTGTATTGCTTTTTATAAACACTTTCTTGAGGATATCGATCAATAAAAAATAGCAATGACAAAAGAACAAAAGGACCCCAACTGGAACAAATCCACAGCCACTTCAAATGAAAAAAGACATTCAATTATTTTAATATAAAACAAAAAGATCGGTATTCATTTTTGCTGAATTCATCGGACATGTCAGTAGTAGCCCCTGCCATTTCAGGATACTAACCACCTAGTTGTTGTTCTTGTGACATCCGCTTCCACCGACTGTGATATCGCAGAAACGTTGTCATATTTTCATGTATATTATCTTAGAACGCAGGGTGGAAACTGGAGTAAACCCATAAGGATGAGAAAACGCCCTTATCTACTGTATAGGGCATTTTGTAATCTACCACATACCGTCTTCATGTAATTTACCTAATAGCAGAACACATTTTTATGGGAAACAATCACTGGGTTTATTATATAATACTCTGGGGTTTTTTTATCTTTTTTATTTAAAAAGAAAAGTAACACTTAGCAGTTTCAATGTTTGTAAATTGATAACGGGTAAAATTGTAAATAAAACATAAATATGTGTAAGAGCCAAAACTTCCTATTGCAGGTCTTTTTTTTCTAATTCCATTTGGAATATAAATTATTATTTAGGCATTTTTTAACATGCCACGCCCATAATCAACTCTCCGGGCTGTCCTATGGCTCCGATTTCAAGTAGATTGAACTACCGCGGTTATTTTACATTTTAAGGATTTACTATATCGTTGCTACGATAATAAACAATCTTCGCTAAATTTTTTACAAAACTTCAAATACTTACAACTTCGCACATTATAAAGTAATTCGACTAAAATTTTCAATATATATAATTTTTCAATATCTATTATAGAACTATTATATACTAGCTCTTTATCTAATTCTTATGCATCATATTGGATGTTCTTTAAAGTGTTCTTTGTTAACAGGTAATGCTATTAAAAACAAGATTATTGATGAGTCCTGTGTTAATGATTTCAGGTACAATAAAATATACTGTTAACGTTATAATAGTATCCACGGCTACGTTTATGTCCTTTTGTAACACGAAACAAAAATCTTTACAAAGAAACAGTTGACGCTAATATTATAAAAGATCATTAAACTATACGTACTTATGGAAGAACAATTGCTGATTTATTTAGGCGACGTTTCGAAGAGTATTCTCTCAACGTTTGCAAATACCTTATAACAGTAACAACCCCTTGTATAACAAAATATTATAATCGCTCAAAATTTCAAATATTCTTTAATATAACAAAGGTATACAGTAAATAAGCTAGCTTTGTGAACTTTCGAAACAAACAAAAGGTTCCGGTTTCCGTAAGTATGAAATTTGTTATACAATGCACTTATTTTTCGACATAATACAAATGTACAAGACAATCCTAAACTGTAGGTGTAAGACCCTGAAAATGTATTATGAACATAAATGAATGTTTTTGGCTTTGTGGCTCCATTGTTTAATTTGAAGACATACCAAGTGGTGTTAACTGGTCCCCTATACCTTTTAGAGGTACCCCACAAACTGCGACCGAGAACCTAAATTTACGAATATGCTTAACTCTTCGCCGCTTCATCATAATAAAACAACTTTGGTATCAACTTAATCTTGGATAGTCACCCACAAGGTTCGTCTTTAGAGCTTATCCTTCCAACTGTTTGACTGTACAGTTCGAATGAGTATTATCACTTAATGTTTGTACCATGCTCAAATATGCAGCACTATAGTGGGTAGAACATGTGGAGCGGTACCACCAAATCGCTTACCACATCCGACGTGTGACATCTATTCTCTGCTACACATCTTTGTTAGCTTGTAATCGTCTAGAGTTTATTAGGCTCTGGACTGGCTTCTGTTGTATCTCTCTTCTTTATGGATTTCAGCGTTGTTTTTTCTCACGATACCGAAATCAAATATGTAACAGGAACAACAATAGTTTTGTCTATACAGTTTTATGTCACAACAGTTAAACAATAGTCTACATTACAATACTTAAAATTAACACGTCTTTCTCTCCACCCCACGTGCGCGCTGTATCATAACGTCTGTTATTGAGTCAACTGGCGTGATTTCGAATCTCCATTTGTTACGTGACAAGGAGTAAGGTCGCCTGTTCAACCTCGTGGGTTTTCTCCAGGATTTCCAGTTTCCTCCCACTGCTAAAGACCCCTACGCACAAGCGAATTATTGAAATAAAATTGAACCATGTGTTAGTCCCGAAATGACCTAGTCTGTGTCGAGTGGACGTTAAACCCAATTTTTCTCTCCCTCTCTCCACCCCACGCCTGTACAAATCTAACTAGCGTGGCTAGACTCCTGAAACCCCTACATCATCAAATGGTCGTCTAAAGAATCTACCTGATATTGATATCTCCTTCGTAAAGCGCAAATCTTGCGCTTTTCATATGCCCAGATTTCGCTTACTAACTATTCAACTTGCCTAATTTATGCTATTAATTATGTGATTGGTTACTTAATTACGACTAATAACATAACGGTAATTTTCACCTTGCGTGTATTTTAAAAAAAATAACAAAATAGCATTGAAAAATGTAAATGACCAACATATACTATTCAAAAAAAAGTAGGGGATATTTGATTTTGGGGGCATAATACTAAAATATGCAAATGACTACGAAAAAAGTCACTATAGAACCTAACAGAAGAAACATTTCCAGTTACATGTGACGCCCAAACGCACCAATAGCTACCGCATGGAATGCAGGTGATGCTTGAGATCATCATGGGGGTCCAACCCAAGATTTGCACGACTCTGACTTTGAATGTTACAGTCATTGTGGCATTGAATTCCAGGGTGGAAACATCAGTTTAATTGTTTTAGTGACCAGAAAACAAATTTTGATATGCGTCGGCTTACCCAAAATGAAAGGTTACGTGCCCTTGGCATGCTACAGATCGGCACAACACAGGCGGTTGTGGCGCGGACGATGAATGTTTCTCAGTCTGTCATAAGCAGGCTATGGTCCAGATACCGTGATACACAATCTGTACAGGACAGACCACGCTCAGGTCGACCAAGGGCGACAACTCAAGCCCAGGATCGATTTATCCGTACCTTGGCCTTGAGAAATCGTGTCATCACAGCAAATCAGATCAGCGCTCGTCTTCAAACAGACACTGGTGTGAGAGTGAGTGGCCAGACGATTCGGAATCGACTGCATAGGGGTCACCTTCGCGCCATACGTCCTCGCGTGAACCCTTGTTTGAGAGATCATCACATTCAGGCAAGACGTCGTTGGTGTAGGGATCGTCAACACTGGGATAATCGACGCTGGAGCAATGTGATGTTTTCAGATGAGTCAAGGTTCACTGTTGATTTTTTGGACAGACGTAGGAGGGTGTGGCGTCGTCGAAACGAGCGCTTCCAAGACGTTAACGTCATCAGACATGATCGATTTGGGGGTGGTTCTGTTATGGTGTGGGGAGGCATCACTGTTGCTGGAAGAACGGCTTTACATGTTGTTGCAGGGCGTGTTACAGGCCAGTACTACCGGGACAACATCTTGGCAGTCCATGTTGTGCCGTTCGCACGACGTCATGGCCGCCGTTTCATCTTCCAGGATGACAACGCAAGATGTCACAGGGCCAGGATCGTTACAGGTTACCTCCAACAACAGAACATCACCACATTACCTTGGCCAGCACTGAGTCCCGACCTCTCCCCCATCGAGCATGTCTGGGACATGCTTGGACAGAGGTTACGTCAACGTCAACAACGTCCTGCCAATGTCCAAGAACTTGCTGCTGCGTTGCAACAGGAATGGGACAATCTGGACCA